CCGATCTGTCGGACGCCCAATTTGGTTTTCGGGCGGGGCGTTCGACAGTCGACGCCGTGTTGCGCCTGAGGGCCGTGACCGAAGAGGCAGTGAGCTGTGGCGGCGTGCTGTTGGCGGTGTCATTAGACATCGCCAACGCATTCAATAGTCTGCCATTCAGCTGCATCAGGGAAGCACTCCACTATCATGGGGTGCCAAAGTACCTGAGGCGGCTAGTGGCAGACTACTTAGAGGAGCGTACCGTCGTGTACGAGGACCGAGAAGGTAATTTGAGGAGTCGGCCCATGTCGTGCGGTGTTCCACAGGGGTCTGTTCTTGGACCCCTCTTGTGGAACATAGGGTACGACTGGGCCCTTCGCGCCGATTTCCCCCCCGGGCTGGGTGTAATCTGTTACGCAGACGATACCCTCGTGACAGCCCGGGGGGCAAACTTCCAAGAGGCGGCGCGCCTGGCCACAGGGGGAGTCTCCCTGGTGGTCGGGCGCATTGAGGCGCTGGGCTTACGGGTGGCCCTAGATAAGACGGAGGCCCTGTTATTCCATGGGCCCCGTCGTGGTCCACCCCCTGGCGCCTCCATCGTGGTCAACTCGGTCCTCGTACCGGTTCGGGCCCAGATGAAATATCTGGGCCTGATCCTCGACGGGAGGTGGCTCTTCGACGAGCACTTCCGACAGCTTGCTCCAAAGCTGGTCGGCGCTGCGTCTGCCCTAGGGCGACTCTTGCCCAATATGGGTGGACCCAGCGTCGCGACAAGACGGCTGTACACGGGGGTTGTCCGGTCAATGGCGCTGTACGGTGCACCGGTGTGGGCGGCGGCTCTGACCGCCCAGAATAGGGTACGCCTCTGGCGCCCTCAGAGGGTAATGGCGGTCAGAGCCATACGCGGTTACCGCACCGTTTCGACGGATGTGGCGTGCGCGTTGGCCGGAACTCCCCCGTGGGATTTGGAGGCGGAAGTGCTCGCCGAAGTTTATCGGCGAGTGGCTGACTACCGGGCGGAGAGCGGATTTCGCCCTCCGCCCGAGGATGTGCGCGAGTGGCGCGAAGCCGCTCGCCGAGCCACGATGGCTCGTTGGTCGTTCCGGCTGGAGACTCCACGCGCTGGCTTCGCCGCCGTGGAGGCTCTCCAGCCGGTCATCGCCGAGTGGGCAGGGCGGCAGCACGGGACCCTTTCCTTCCGACTGACGCAGGTGCTTTCCGGGCACGGTTGCTTCGGAAAGTACCTGCACACGGTCGCTAGGAGGGAACTGAGTCCCGCCTGCCACCACTGCGACTGCAGTGAGGACTCGGCCCAGCACACGCTGGCGGTCTGCCCCGCATGGGCGGCGCAGCGCCGGGCCCTCACTGCAGTCATCGGAGTGGATCTCTCGCTACCGGCCGTAGTACGCTCCATGGCCGGTAGCGACAGTTGTTTTACCGCGGTCGCAACCTTCTGCGAGGTAGTAATCTCGCGGAAGGAGGCGGCGGAGAGGGCCCGGGAGGACGACCTCCACTCGGACCCGATCCGCCGCCGGCGAACCGGGCGGCGGAGGCCCGCCTACCACAGCCTCATGCCGCCCTGAGTGTGGCCGCGGGTGGACGGGGTGGGTTTCCCCTCCACCCGCATTAGTTTGGCCAGCCGCGAGGGGGCGGCGTCCGCGTGTGCCGGACGTCGCCTAAAGAGAGGAACATCAACAGTGAGACGGAGCCCGCACCAGGAGCGGGCTGGCGCTAGGAGGGGTCCGGATGTCTTAACAACAGCTGTTCCCGGATCCCTCCTGTTACAGGCGCAGAGTGGCACACCGTGTGGTTTTAGTCGGTCCGAGTCCGACACACCACCCCGCCGCAAACCCCGGAGGGGTGACGGTCCGAGGGGATTTCGACACGTAAAAAAAAAAAAAAAAAAAAAGGGTTCGTTTTAAGTTGAGGCGCTGGGCTTACGGGTGGCCCTAGATAAGACGGAGGCTCTGTTATTTCATGGGCCCCGTCGTGGTCTACCTCCTGGCGCCTCAATCGTGGTCAACTCGGTCCTCGTACCGGTTCGGGCCCAGATGAAATATCTGGGCCTGATCCTCGACGGGAGGTGGCTCTTCGACGAGCACTTCCGACAGCTTGCTCCAAAGCTGGTCGGCGCTGCGTCTGCCCTAGGGCGACTTTTGCCCAATTTGGGTGGACCCAGCGTCGCGACAAGACGGCTGTACACGGGGGTTGTCCGGTCAATGGCACTATACGGTGCACCGGTGTGGGCGGCGGCTCTGACCGCCCAGAATAGGGCACGCCTCTGGCGCCCTCAGAGGGTAATGGCGGTCAGAGCCATACGCGGTTACCGCACCGTTTCGACGGAGGTGGCGTGCGCGTTGGCCGGAACTCCCCCGTGGGATTTGGAGGCGGAAGTGCTCGCCGAAGTTTATCGGCGAGTGGCTGACTCTCGGGCGGAGAGCGGATTTCGCCCTCCGCCCGAAACTCCCGGCTGGGGCTGGGGGCCCCAGGTGCTGGCTTTGCCACCGTGGAGGCGCTCCAGCCGGTCATCGTCGAGTGGGCAGGGCGGCAGAACGGAATCGTTTTCATAGCAGTGTCACAATATTTTAATTTTTTAAATTTTATAGCAGTGTCGTTTTTATTTTCATAGACCCTTTACAATCGTTCTCATATGGTAATGCCGTAACACACATGTATAACAAAGTTCTAAGTTTGTTGTAACACACGCTACAGTCAATCGATCTAACTGGACGAGTGAATATTTATTATTTAAAAGGCTTACGTTTGTAGTACCCTAGCATTTCTAGTTTATTAAATTTTTACGTTTTTGGGGTATGCACTTTAGTCTTTTGGGGAAACTTACTTATGTTTTGTAATTTATACGGACGGTTGGAATTTGTTCTGTTAAACTACCGAAAAGGTGAGAGTATCAATTCAGATATGTTATCTTTATGCGTAATAATTGACAAGATTGAGATTTGTTCATTTCTATACAGATAATAATAATTCTATTTTATTAGGAAAGTTACCAACATTCGTATCTTATCATGTAGGTATAGTATAGTGTGGCCCTAATAATTTTTATGCAAAATTGAAAACGTAACTAATTAAAGTAATTATATTTTTTATTGGACCCGAAAAACAAAACATAGAAATGAACAGTCGTGGACATCAAATTGACCAATTCTTGAGAACTTGAAACAATTGTGCTGACTGTGAAATATGAGGGAACTATCCGTGTTGGTCGTGGTACTTGTAGATAAAGTAAGTTATGGGCTTACGACACAAGTATATCACGTCACACAAACTTTAAATTCCGCCACAGAAACAATTATTTTCTCTGACGTACTCATTCATATCGCAAAATAAAAGTTAATAAGCTACAACTTACTTAGATCTTTTGGTTTTTTAATAGTAGTTAACCAAAGTTAGTTTGTAGTATTTTTTGAGATTGGTATCTACTTTTGACTATTTAAGGGTGACACGGAATACAAAGTGTTAGGCCTGAATGATAAGAGAACCATTATTAGCCACATAAATAAATGTATAACCACCTTAAACTAGTGCGAGCGATTTGTCTATTTCGTTTTATGCAGATATGCGTTTAGACTTAACCTATATTGTCTATTTGCTATAATTAATACTTTATTTTAATATCAATAGAAGTGAACACAATAGCTGCTGTTTTAAATAAATCAAATAACCGCATACAATATGTATAAACACTGCACTAACTGGTTTAAATTGGGCCTCGTAGCTCGCAACTCGTAGCTCTCGGTCACGGGTAGACTACGGCGTAGCTAGGTCAGGTTACGAGGTTTTATTAATTAAACTGTGTAACTCAAGTATTGATAGGTTAGTCACTTGTACTGTGTGCAGTATTAATCACTTTAATCAAAAGTTCAGATTTAAGTGAAATAATGTATTTTCTTAAGGGGATTAGTAAATTTTGGAACGAAGTTCCTTATCGTGTGTTACACGCCCTGAGCGGATGGGAGCGAGACAGAAAAATGTTTGACAAGACTTTAGGCACTAAATACTTAGGATTTAGAATCCAATATCCGTAATACAATCCAATATCCGGGGAAAAAGTGATGTTGAGCGATTGAAATTGTTCTTGTATAAAAAAAAGACTACTGCAATAACAACAGTACTGTATACCATCATTAATACGCCATTGGTTTTGCTTCTCTGCGATTGATTTGTAATTCAAAAGGAGTGCTGGAGCAAGTCGAAACCTTTTGACGTCACGTGTATACGAGTACGTGTGCTATCCACATCATTTGCGTCACATTAGACGTCTCTGGACTCGACATGGCGTTAGATAATAGAATTTTAGATTTTAAACCTTCATATTATTATAGTATTAATTAAAATAATATAATTAGTATTTATGCACTGTGTATATCGCTATGCGTTATGTATATCTTCTATATAAACAAAAATGTATCGCCGTAATGTATGTACTCGCAAAACTTCTGCACAACTGCACCAAATTGGAAAGTTCTTTTTTTGTGTGCTTTTTATCGTCAGGACAAAGTTTGTATACAAGAAAATGTAAATAAAATGACCATTTTTTGAAAAATCTCATTTTATGAAAAGTAAGAGTGAATGAGACAGAAGACTGAGAGATCTATACTAATATTCATCACCAGCCTATGTCACCAGCAGTGGACGTCCTTGGGCTAAACTAATATAAAGAGGTTAAGTTTGTTTTGCTATACTAATATTATAAAGAGTTAAAGTTCGGGGTAATCTTAGGCACTACGGGTTCGCATTCGATATTTTAGTGTTGGATAGCCCTTCTATCAAGGAAGGATGTAAGCTATATAACATCGTGCTACGTCCAATAGGAGCCAAGTATCAATGAAAAATGTTTGAGAGAAGCACACAAAGTTGCGAGGGTTAGTAATACATAGAGACTAAAGACAATATGTATTTTATACATTTCATGCTGTTTTTTGTTCAAGGATCCGTAACAACGTCTACGTGTTTTGGTGGACGGATGAGGCGGTGGCGCTTGGCGCCATGAGCTAGCGGGAATGGGGGGCGAGGGGGCGGGCCGCGGCGCCGCGCGCTGGCACGTGGGCGACTCGCCCCCGCGCGCGCCCATGGGCTTCGCGGCGCCCGCGCAGGATGCGCCGCTCGACCGTGGGCTGGCGCCTGCGCCAGCGCCCACCACGCCCGCCAATGCCGTGCTGCAGCGGGCGCACTCCAGGTCAGTAGCCGCCCGAATCGAATGCCAGCGGGCAAATGACCAGCAATAGCCGAATTTTAAATTTCGATTAGTTTATGTTCCTTTATCCTTTTGGATGGCACACATTAAAGTGATGCCTCTTAAATGAAAAATATACACAGAATACGCATCTTTATGATAGTATTATAAAGATGCGTCTTCTGTGTATATTTTGGGAGTTGAATCATAGACTCTTATATGGATTTTTAGCGACTCTCTTAACTATAATGCTTGTATAATACTTATTGACTAGATTGTTGCTGTTAATTTTATCAATCCATGATTTTATTTTTGTGTCATATATTTTTAACAAAATACGCGATGATATTCCAGATCCATGTCGTCGCTACCACCTGAGCCGTTTATGATGCTGCGCGCGAAAGCGTTGAGCAAGCGAGTGATCATCAACGTGGGTGGAGTGCGGCACGAGGTTCTGTGGCGAACACTAGAGCGGCTGCCACACACCAGGCTCGGGCGACTCCGGGACTGCAACACGCATGAAGCCATAACAGAACTCTGTGATGATTACTCCTTACAAGACAACGAGTATTTTTTCGATAGGTAAGATTCCATACAGTTCGGTTGGTGAAGTAAGTTTCTTTCTTAGAAGATGCGAGTGCATCAAGTAGCACGTCTAGATAACATTTTGCTTTCCGAAAGCAAATGATTTACCACATTATATTATGCAAAGGAAAATGGCAGGCATGTATGGGACTTTTGTACCGCCTTGCGTATCTCATGGTAGGGATTATTATTGTATTTATTTGGCTGGTAATATCATCAACAATTACAGTTTAAACTGCCTGATTTCTAGAACTTTGCGTTTAAAAGTTATTTCAGTTTGTAGTTTGCATACAGACTATTCTAAAGTCCATACCAAAGTGATGTCACAAATGAGTTACTATTATTGTCAACACGTTAACCTAGATATCTTTTAAAATCAATCATTTATGATTTTCTTGACACGTCAATAAAATGATGCTCTGTCAAATCAATTAAATTACTTTCTTTAACATAATATTCATGATTAATCTAATCGATTTGAATTAAGGTTATAAGCACCTTTCCTTTGCGAAAATTTCACAATCATCCATCATATATTACTAGGGGTACAGGATCTGTCATTCTTCTTTTAAAAATACCCATGAGCAGAACTTGACTTGATAACAAAGAAATCGACTAAAAACTCCTTTTTAAGGGGAGACCTATGTTCAGCAGTGGACTAGTATAGGCTGTTGATGATGACGACTCAAAGTATAAGGCATAAAATTATAGGTTTCGAAATTGTTCCAGCGGTCCTCCAGAATCGGGGAAAAGCTGAATATCATCAATAAAAAGTGTTTTAACCAACTGTGTTAGATTGTTTCATAACTATGTTGGAAAACAAGTACAATAATATGTCCCTCCCAAGTAAATATATTATTTGTGAGTTTCGAACCTTACAGCTCGTTCCCTCTTGTCGGCTGTCGGATCCGAATCGGGTGTCGGCGCCTATACCAACCCGTCTGGCCAGCGTGGTATAGGTATATGGTATAGGCCAAAACCTCCTTTCTGAGGAGAGGCCTATGTCCAGCAGTGGACTATTAAAGGCTGTTGATGATGATGATGATGATGTCGGCGCCTCTGTTCACACTAATCGGTTGTCGGCCAGTGTAAAAGCTGGTGCACTGTGCACAATGGACAGCAATGAAGTTCTTGTTGTGATGTATTATCATATGAGGAGAAAACGAATAAAGACATCTAAGAAAAGAAAATTTTGGATGCACCCAATCCTGAGAATGTTTTAGTTTGGTAACATTTTAGAACTTAATACGAGTAACAAAATTGTAAAGAGACCAAATTAAATTTTTCAATTATTTTAGGATGTTAATAACTACATTCAACGATCTACTGCTTCGAATATCAGTGAGCATAAACTACTAAAACATAAGATCTAGAGACTGTATTCATCATCGACATCCGACAATGTGAAATGCATGTGAGCAGCTTCATACTTACTCATAGGCGAGCGACATCCGACACGATTTTTACCCGGGCGTAGAGGGCTGGTAAAACACCCGACATTACTCGTCGGTGCCGACACAAAATTGGTGTCGGACAAGTGTGAATAGTTTCATCTAAAATGTCCTGCCACTAGAGCAGTCTATTTTTTGTCGGGTCCAACACCCGACAAGTGGGAACGACCTCTTATACAATATAAATTACGTATGACCATTCAATGATTTCATCACCTTCTCATATTTTATTTTAAACCCTATTACAGGCACCCGAAAAGCTTCAGTTCAATACTCAATTTTTATCGGACTGGAAAGTTACATTTAGTAGATGAAATGTGTGTGTTGGCGTTCAGTGATGATCTCGAATATTGGGGCGTGGATGAATTGTACTTGGAGTCGTGCTGTCAGCACAAGTACCATCAGCGGAAGGAGCATGTACATGAAGAAATGAGAAAGGAAGCAGAGAGTTTACGACAGCGTGAGGAAGAGGAATTTGGACAGGGCACCTGCGCACAGTACCAGAAATGGCTCTGGGACTTACTAGAGAAACCTACGACCAGCATAGCAGCCAGGGTAACGTATCGTGACGACTCCCGCCACCCTTATAACAAATTACTACCGATATTATTACTTTTGCCACTTTAGCAACGCTGCCCGGGATGGTTTCTTATAAGCGAAAGGTACCTAAGGATTTAAAACATTTTATCACTATAATACATAGATATTTAGTTTTACTTAGATAGTTGCTTCTGTGAATTGTGAACGAGGTTTCGTTGAGGACTAGAAATCTACCTGCGCTACAATTTTATACACTTATCACTGATTCAGTTCAAATATATTTAATTTACACAGATAATAAGTAAATATATGGACGCACTAAGTTTTATTCCATTTTTTCACGTAAAGTCAGGTACACTAAGCACTATCACTTACTTAGTTCCAATTGTTAGCCACTTTATTGTGTATTTATCTAAGTACATAAAACATTTCGTAAATAATGTTCACTTTCATTTCATTACTGTAATTCTATCCTCTAAACACGTAAATATATTAAGTACTGAAGTAGACATACGAACACGTACCTCTTATGTACACAAGGGCTTGTTTCGTAATTTTATACATATTTCTGGTTTCACCTTTACTTAGATGATTTAAATAGTGACACTCAACTGAAATACGCTTTTAAAAGTATATGCATTAAAGAAACAAGCTTGGTATACAGAGTTATGTTTATGTTGTGTTTGTGGTGCATGAATAACATCTATCGCTGGCTCCTCCTATTTCCTTTGGTGTTGCAACTCAGTTCGTTTCTTGTGCGTGTTGTGGAATGTGGTGTTGTGACTATTGTGGAATCGTGATCTTTGGTCGCTTTTGTCGAATCGATATTGTGTTATGTCCTTTTTGAGCTACTTTCAGCAATCCTGTAGCAATAATACTCGCTCTAAAATATCATGATTACATTTCGACAACAGCGGTGCAACTTAATGAATATGTAAGTACAAACTGTGTCCGTGTGGTGACGGATTAAGAATACAGAGTGTCACCACCCCTATTCATCCCGTGGGTGTCGTAAGAGGCGACTAAGGGAGCGAAATACGCAGGACAACAGCACTGCAGAGAGAAGGAAAACTTGACACAAACCCTATACCAACCCGTCTGGCCAGCGTGGTATAGTAGGCCAAAACCTCCTTTTTAAGGAGAGGCCTATGTCCAGCAGTGGACTGTTAAAGGCTGTTGATGAAGTACAAACTTAATATAGTAAGTCTTTTTTATTTTTTAATAATATTAACATATTTTTATTCTGTATATTGCCAAATTTCTTTTTACAGTATCTTTGCAAAACATTGCTTAAGTGCCTTTACATTAAAATAAGCCTATATATTGTAAATATATCAAAATTTTATTTATTACTTTTATATTATGTTAAAACAAGTAATTAAAGAAGTTTTAGTTAATAAACTATAATAAGTGTTCTATAACATGATAATTTGTTTTTATTTACTACTTATTGGTAATTATTTTGTATAAATAAAAAGACTACTAAATGAAATACTTGTGTTGTAGAATACTCGTAGTTATACCGTTATATTTTATATATATATTTATTTGTATACACAGGTCTAAAGAAAAGTATGGTCACTTCTGATAAAACACATGTCTATATATGTAGTTTGTTTTAATTTATATTGCTGTTCTTTAAACCTGTGTATTTGAACCAATAATTTATGCTTTTATTGAATTAAAATTTCAATACACAAAAATCTTCAGGATTGTACAATTATTTTTACTATAACTTTTTATAAATGTTCACAGCCGCATCGACAGTTCTCAGTTACGGAGAACTTTACAAAACAAAGCTTAATTGTTGTCGCCAAGTTGCAAACATGGGATGGGCTTACGCGATGTGACCAGCCGCCGCCGGGGCGGCGCCCTGCGGGCCAAAGTGCGGGGTCGCACGGGACGGGCTTGCGCCCGCCGGACATGTGTCCGGTGTGCGCCGCCTGCGCCCGCGCCGCCTCCCACTCCAACCGCGCGCCGTCCGCCGGCGTCCCCTCACCTACCCAACCCCTGCGCTCCTTGCTCCTGCGTCTCTAATCCAAACCTTTTACCATCTATCCACCAACGCTTCCGCTTCGTGATACTGATCCGACTAACCGAGCGATGCAAGCGATGAACGGACGAGCGTCTGCTTCCTTCTGTCTTAATCTACGTAGCACGTACCAGTGCGAACGCCCGTCCGTTCACCCACACTAATTTATTTAGATTATCTACTAACTACACCAAAACCACACAACACTTCTAACATAGTCACACGAATAGATGTTATTTTTACACCAAAATTGATGGAATAAGTTTAAGACAATTGTTACATACTATATTGGCTGACCATATCTGTAAATACATATTTAAACGTTTCTACAACTGTTAAGTAAGTAGTCTACCACTAATGTCCAAAGGTGCAGGAAGAGTAGTTCTGTATAAACACTGGCATAATGACTTACCAATTCGACACATATGGCATAATCACTAGGTACCGAGCTATAGTTGAACACTGCGGCAGCGCGGTGGCGGGCAGCGTCGCACCGACGCTCGGCCGCTCACTAGTGCATGCTTGCAGGTGATCGCGGTGATCTCAATCCTCTTCATCGTGCTGTCCACGATAGGGCTCACACTCAACACAATACCCCAGATGCAAGTATACGACGACAAGGGGGCGCCCATGGATAATCCGCAGCTGGCCATGGTAGAAGCGGTGTGCATCACATGGTTCACGTTAGAGTACGTGCTGCGATTCAGTGCCTCGCCGGATAAATGGAAGTTCTTCAAGGGTGGACTCAACGTTATAGACTTACTGGCTATACTGCCCTATTTTGTATCTCTATTCCTGCTTGAAACCAATAAAAACGCTACTGACCAATTTCAAGATGTGCGTCGTGTTGTGCAAATCTTCCGTATAATGCGAATTTTGCGCATCCTCAAACTCGCGCGGCACTCGACCGGGCTACAGTCGCTCGGCTTTACGCTCAGGAACTCCTACAAGGAGCTAGGATTGCTCATGTTGTTTCTCGCGATGGGAGTTCTAATTTTCTCTTCATTGGCATATTTCGCTGAGAAAGAAGAGCCGAACACTAAATTTATTTCCATTCCGGAAACGTTTTGGTGGGCCGGCATCACAATGACCACAGTCGGATACGGTGACATTTACCCCACGACTCCGTTGGGCAAGGTCATCGGCTCAGTTTGCTGTATCTGCGGCGTGTTGGTAATTGCGTTACCCATCCCCATTATCGTCAACAATTTCGCCGAGTTTTACAAGAACCAGATGCGGCGCGAAAAGGCGCTCAAGCGGCGGGAGGCGCTCGAGCGTGCTAAACGCGAGGGCTCCATCGTTTCTTTTCATCATATTAACTTACGCGACGCATTTGCGAAGAGTATGGACCTCATCGACGTCATCGTAGACACAGGTTAGTATCTTGTAGGCCATCTGCTTTGCTTGTCCATGTCATGTGTAGCTCGTAAATGCACTTAACTATTTTATCAAGTATCAGCATGCCTTTCGTGCCCAAACAGTGCATGTGTTATAGTGGATGCAATGAATGTGGAATGTGTGCACGCCGCATCGATGGCTCTCCGGACTAGCAGACATCTTCAAATCAAACTAAACAGATCACGTTACATCGCAGCTACAGCTATGTTCACTCGTTGGTTGCCGCGAGGTGCACTCAGAGTGTTTTATTCCTTGTCTTCAGGTGACAAGTGCGTCCTCATTGAGGCGAGAGACGACGCCAGATGAGCATCTTACTACTCTCACACAGTCGTCACACACGACCCCTTATTTTTAAGTCGTTAGTAGGGGTCGAAATCGCGCCGCGTGTAGCTTGCGATGTGCGACGAAGACACTATAATTTAAGGTCGATTACATTGTCAGCGTAAGCATAACGCTTCTTAGAACTAACTCTACTCCCTGTGGACTGTCTGATATGTGTATCCGGAGGACGCTGGATTCTGTGTAATATTCGTGTGGAATGTGTGTTGTGTAGTTCACTCCGTAATTTTGTCACATTTAAATGTTCATTAATAATAATAAACAGTTAAGCAATCGGGAAATATAAAGGAAAATATGGAATACCTTGCTACTCATAGTGGTATGTGTCTCCAGGACACAACTTGTCGCAGGCGGACGCCACTAGCCTGGAAGGCGAGGCACCGGCCATCACTGGTTGCTACAAACAGTACGAGCACTCTCTCAACAATAAGCTCCAACAAGGCACTGAACCCAATCAGGTAATTAGTATTCATTCGATATGTTAATTGGGTACGTCCAACGATCGTTAATATTGTTTATTGTGAGGTTAGCTCGAATAGCGAGCAAGTCAGCAAGTAAGTTCATACTTGTCACTTTTCTTTTGCTTAGATTGCAAATAACCTGCTATTTGCTAGAATAACAATGCAAGTTTATCGTTTTGTTGGACGGACCCTTTTAAAGTAGTAACATGAATTATTTATTATTTATTAACACTAGGTAATAGTTTCAGAGCAGCCCTAAGAAAGAGCGTCGTTACTCGAATGAAGGCCCTGAAACACCGGAAAAACGTTTGCTCATAAATCCTGAACCTACACCAGTAAGAATGCATCACTTCTTACCTATTTTTTAATATTAGTTGCTTGTTGAATTCATCTTAGATCTTAGTTGCTTGACTGTTACAACTTGTACAACGTAACGCAGAACGCAGGTGTGTTTTCGAACCCTCGGCGATTAACATATAGTTAAACATTATATTCAGTTAATAAATACACACACATGAACGCAATAAAAACTTTGACTGACTTAAATGGATTTGTATTCGAAATATCGTCGACCGAAGGTTTGTAGGCATGGACCTGCATTTTTTCTAACCGACTGGGCTAAAAATCAAAATCAATTAGGTACTAATAATTTCTCTTTTTCTAGGAAAAGAAGATGGCTGACAAACAGCTTGACTTGGATCAGCTGCCTTCTGAGTTTGAATGTTGTTTTTGCACGTTCAAGGTACTAAGATACTAACGCAAACATGATGTTTTAGATATCTCTTTATTAATCATCTAATTATGCAATTATTTGTTAACAATTTATTGTATGAGAACCGGTACTAATAACAATATTTTCACATAGCATTAAGTAAGTATTTACTTACTTATTTTTTTAGATTATTTCCATTTTTATATTATTTTTTCGGTTAGTGTTTGCAGCTATTCATATTATTAACATAGGATGAAGGTAATACCCGTCAAAATTATACTAACGTGCAATTTAAATAAACCACTTCTACAGATTAAAAGTATCAGTTGAAGTGGTTCCTTCATTGTAGTAGGTACGTGGGCACATAATTTATTACACAATCGTCTAATTACTGACTGCATCTTGGTATAGGGTTATAAGGAGTTCATTGACGCGGAACAACTAATGCCCATGTCGACCTCAGACCTGCGCCAGCCGGTATGCGTAGAACTCGCATGTTTGCAGCGACATCCTGCGCCCAAAGCCCTGCCCGAAGCCACACCAAACAGCTTGGACAGCCCAGGTATAACCATCATTTTCCATAAATTCGAACAACTGTAAATAACCGTAAGTATAGAAAATACTAGTTATATAGAGTATATATGGAGTATACTCTATGAAATTGATAAAGATATTAAAATATTACGTTGTTTACAATTGTTCTATGTCATCCCTTCAATATAATTACCCTGCTGTTTTTAAGTGTTAAGAATCCGTAGAACAAGATATAGTCACTTTTGTACTTTTTAATCATTCACCATTGTCATGACGATGTCCTTTTTGGCACATTTGTGTACCCACGCTATACTTTAACCGTTCATAGCCTATAGAAGTACCATAAACCATTCTTTGTGAGGTCGTGTACGGCTCCATGTGCATTATGTCTTACATTACAGATACATTTGCATCATGCCTTACGCACCCTTTTCCTTCAGAGGGCGACATCGCATGCGAGATCGACTCTTCAAACTTGTATGTGAATCCTCTGGACGGTAGCGGAGGTGGCGGTGCCGGTGGGGGTGGGGACGGGGTGTCTGCTGACTTTAGCGGAGTGCGCAGGAGTGCATCAGGGGATGGAAGCGTGATGTGTGCCAAAGGTTCGCAGGGCGAAGGATCACCGCGAGGATCGCGAGTAAGCCTGGCGGGCGCGGTCACTAGTGCATGCGCGGGTGTAGCGTCGGGCGCAGTGATTGGCCCGGTGAAAACAACCAGCACAAAACCGCTGGATGCGTCGCGCACCAGTCTGCAACAGCCACTGGAGGACGCGCCCGCCGCCGCTGACGACACCAAGCCCAAACATAGAAAGGCTCGCTTCCAACAGGTGAGGCTCGCCGGCAGCTTCACGGTTCATCGACATCAGAGACATAAAGTTGTTTAAGTTCACAAAAATACAACTTTTAAACCAATAAGACCGCGCATTTGAATACTGTTCATTGTCATGTTTGCATGATGTAACCAACGTTTGACTAATACTTCAATGTGTACACGAGAATGCATGTTTTATCACTTCCTTCATGTGTCGATAAGCTTACGTTCGGCAAAAGAGGTAACACGTCCTGATCGTTTGTCCCACAGGACTGGACGGAAGAAGAGAGGAGGCCGCCGAGAGGGATAGCTACGAGGATCATTAATCATCACATACTTTTTGGTTTGTCTCATTTTCAATACGTACTTACATACTCAGCGAAAAACGTCATACTTATGCAATAATATATTGTGAGCTTACTAAGCATTTGCCTAACCCATAGAATAAAAGAGACCCCGAAAATCGAGTTATTTAATAGTCAGTAGCTTACACTTTCTTCTAAGTATCGGCAGCACCTTGGTATAGGGTTATAAGGAGATCACTAAGCGAACCAATCGGTGCCTGGGACGATCTTAGACATGTTGGGTAAAAAAATTATTGTGAAAAATTCCAATACTACTTCTTATACTTAGGTAAGAACGGCAACAAACGTGGCGGCGGCTGGCCACTAGAAACCGACTCTCGCTCGCGATCTATTCTCAAGAATAAGGAGTCCCGAGGTACCGACAGCGAGTTACTGCTCCAGGAAACTACCTCGCTCGGTGCTAACGTAAGTTTTATAGTTTAAAAATCAAGTTACAGAACTTCAATAGAAAAATACTAACACTAGCGTATATACACGGTTAAGTTTCTGCATAATAACCCTACAAGCTAGAGCTGTATGCATTAACGTCGTCAGAAAATTATACTCGTGTTCCTCATGACGAGTTTACTCAATCTATTGGCAATCTGTACGTGTGTAATAAGAAGTATTCATAAGAACCGTTTTCTACGTACACGATAAAATTTACAAGACATGTCGTTTAAAAATGGCAGCAAATATTGTACAAATCATTGTATTCTTTAGAACCCTTTGACAACTGTAGCAACGGAAGTTGAGAGAGCTGTGTAACGACGCTCATTTATTATAAAAACTCGCTCCCGTCTGCGTTAAAGATCTAGATACTATCTAATGTCGAAATTGTAGGTATAAATTATTTTAAAATACATTCCTTATTATCATTTAAAATACATATCATTATGGCTTTAGAAAAATCATGTCCCATATTCATTAGGGAAAAACAGATACGAAAAATCACGTGTGATAAGAACTACACTTATAGAAAAGCTTTATTTTTTTATTTAGAACATTTAAAAGAAAAACCCAAACATCGACATTTAATAGAGGGCATTCAAAATAAAACTAGTATTAATAAAGAAAAACCATCGTACAGGGACGTATTACTGGCGCACATTCAATCAGATATCTCTGCGCCAAAAACAAGCGAACAGCAGACTGTGACGGACAGTGAAGAGTTAGAAGAACAAAGTATGGAAGAGTCGGTAGAATTTGTCATCTTAAATAAACCAGTGAAGAGAAAACAAAAGACAAAGAAAAGTAATCAAAGTCGTAATGCCTCGTATTATATAAAAGAAAACTCAATACAACAAGAAATAACCGAAAACCAAGATGAGAACACAAATCGCATTGTTGATTTTAAAGAGAGATTATCATGTACTGTAAAACAAGTTCATCTGAAAATAGTTTGGATGTGAAAATTAAAATATATGTAGCTTTATATTAGAAGAATGTTTTCAGTTTGTTTGGAAGTTACTGAAGGAAGGTGTCTTAAATAAAATTGTATCTATATTTAAAGATGGCTGGTTTATATAAAGATATTAATCTAAATATAATGCAGTGGAATGCACAGAGCTTACGACCTAAGTTAGAGGAGGTTAAATGTTTATTATTACAAGAGAAAGTACATATAGCATTAACTAGCGAAACTTGGCTGGATGAGAGGGTATGTGTTAACTTTAATCCATATAACATTTATAGACGCGATAGAAGCGACTCTTATGGTGGCGTAGCCATTATATCACATAATTCAGTAAACGTTCAGAAACTAAATATTAATGTGAATAATTCAGGGATCGAGTTGCTGTGTATTAGGATAAATAACTGTAGTTGTGTCCAACATATAATTTTGATATATTGTCCTAGTTCAGTTCATACAACACAATCAGATTGCGATAATATTTTTTCTATGTTCCCAAAACATTGCTTGATTGTTGGAGATTTTAATGCTCATCATACGAACTGGTCGTACAAGACTGATAATAGGGGTAAACAGATTTTTGAATCGGCAATTGAATTTGGATACACATCTCTTAACAATGGACAGCCAACTAGGATTAAATTAGTTAATAATATCCTACAAAGGTCCTCACCTGACATTACGTTTGCATCCGCAGACATAGCTGTTAATTTTGACTGGCAGGTTTTTAACGAAAGTTTAGGAAGTGATCACTTATTTGTTAAAGTTCAAGTAACGTACAGGGAGCGAACCAACTTTGATAAAATGCGAAATTATAAATTGGCTGACTGGAATAAATACAAACAATATCTTGTGGATTGCTTTTCTGGTCCTGTACCTGACAATGTTCAGGGGTCGTATGACGACTTTATCATTAAAATAAATAGGGCAGCTGATAAAATTATTCCTTTTATTAAAACGTGTAATAATCCAAATAATAATTTTAGACCAAAGGGGTACTGGAGTTCAGATCTTTCGAAATTAGTTGGTGAACGTGACTGGCTTTACGTAATTTTAGAAGAAATCCAACACCCCTAAATTTATCAGTTTATCAATAAAAAGCTATTAAGGCTAAACGAGCTATTCGAACGGCTAAGTCAAATGATTATAAGAAGTTCTGCGAAAGTATCAGCGATAGGGTGTCAGCGTGTAACATGTGGCGTCGATTAAGTTGGGTGAAAGGCTATAAAAAAGCCAGATATAATTTTTCTGAAGAAATACAAAAATAAATGTTATGTGATTTGGCACCTGATTACGTTGTTCCTTCTATGCCATTATTTAAGTCTAGAAATATATTATTAGAAACTGATTTTACACTACAAGAAATGAATCACTGTTTGAAGAAAAAATACACCGCTCCGGGCGAAGACAAGGTTACTTACTCCATGATATTACAGTTACCAATGGTAGGAAATTTGTATTTAATTAGAATTTTTAATATGATATTAAATTCAGGCGATGTTCCATTCCAATGGCGCGATATTAGAGTTATTCTAATTCCAAAGTCAGGTGATAATCTAGGTAGCAAACCAAGACCTATATCCTTGATATCGTGCACTTGCAAAATTTTTTATGCTATGATTGCTAAAAGACTTGAATGGCATGTTGAAAGTAATCAAATTTTGTCTCCATATGCAACGGGCTTCAGGAAGGGTCAATCTGCACTTGATTGTGTGACACGTTTAGTAACGCAAATTCAGATAGGATATTCAAAAAATTGTCACACTCTTGCTTGCTTTATGGATATCAAAAGTGCGTATAATAATGTAGTAATAGAAAAATTATTAAGCCTTCTAGACATTCTAAATGTTGGTAAAAAGTTATGTCATTATCTATGGAATTTCCTAAGTGAGCGACATCTAAAGAAATGTAATAACCATGTAGGAGGGGCGGACATGATAAGATATCTGGGATAGCTCAAGGTGATCCCCTGTCACCCCTACTTTTTAACATAGCAACTTATAAATTATGTCAAGACATTACTAATGTGTTTATATGCCAATACGCCAATGACTTTGTATTATATACAACATATAAATATATTTCAGAGGCCCAGGATAAGATTGAAAACGCTATAAATAGTTTCATAATTCTATTGGACGAGTTGGGTTTGGACTTATCAATTAGCAAATCTAAATATTGTATCTTTAGTAGAGGAATTAAGAGACAACAAACACAATTATTAGTAAAAGATATTGAGCTTGAATTAGTGGATAATTATAAATATTTGGGGGTTTGGTTTGACAGGAGATTACTTTGGGGTAAACACATTAACGAAGTCACGGAAAAAGTTCAAAAGCTAATTAATTTACTGAAAATTCTAGCAGATCCTTCTTGGGGCACACATCAGATTCATTTACGTAGATTATACATTGCATTAGTCAGAAGTAGGTTAGACTATGGTTGTTTTCTATACGATAACAGTGCAAAATCAAATATTTATAAGCTAGAAAAAGTCCAAAACCAAGCTTTAAGAGTGATAGGGGGGTTCATAAGAACTACTCCAATTCACGTGATGGAGTGTGAGCTCTGTGTTTTTCCACTGCATTTAAGAAGAAGATGGTTAGCATACAAATATTGTCTAAAATGTCGGTCAGTATCAGATAACATAACAATTAAATTACTCTCAGAACTTAGTGATTTTAGACACATCAGTTATTAGTCTAATAAGAGGCTTCCATTACTTGTCAGTATTCTTGAGGAGATTAAGTGCGAGCCAATTAAATCATCCCCCCTCTTGGAAACCTTTTCTCTAGACACTTGGGTAACCAATATTAATATTCAAAATGTAATAAAATCTAATTTAGACGCAAATGAAAAATCTAAAAAGAAATATGAACTGAATCAAATTAAAAATATAACTTTAAGCGAAACACATGAAACTTATCGTGATTATTATATAATTTACACTGATGGGTCTAAGAGTGCTAATGGCGAAAGAGCGGCTTTTTATGATCCTTTGAAATCGAAAACCACTACTAACACTTATTTTAAAATTACTAATTATGTATCAATCATGACGTTGGAACTCTTTGCAATTTCAGAAGCCCTTACTTATATCGAATCGAGTGACAATAAGAAAATACTAATATGCGTAGATAGTCAAAGTGCTCTTCAACACATAGCTCGATGCGCCTCTGGATACAGAGGTGAACCGATAGCTTAAGACATTCTTTCTAAAATAAGCAGGTTTAATAATAGAGGGGTTGAGCTGAAGTTGCAATGGGTGCCAGCTCACATAGGCTTAAAGGGTAACGAGGAGGCTGATCGATTATCTAAGTTAGGTATCATTAGTGGTACAGAAAGAAATATCAAAATTAATTATGAAGAATTATTACCTAAATATAAAAAAAAGTGTCATGAAATTTGGAAAGAGTATTATAATCAGAATTCGAGAGAAAAGGGAATATGGTATAAGACTATAGTATCGGAGCCTCCTCATATACCATGGTTTTCCAACACCGGACTCAATAGAAAAATTACTGTAATCACCAACAGGTTGAGATCTGGACATATTCCGCTCAATGGGTTTGGATTCTTGATGAAAAAACTGAATTCACCAAACTGTGAGGTTTGTGGTACTCTAGAGGATGTGACACACTTATTGACGGAGTGTGACAGATTTCAATCTGAAAGGAAATATCTGATGAAAGAGTTAAATATAAATAGTAATAATGTTGGTATGTTCCACCACATATTGTCTGCGCCGACTTCAAAAGCCGCCTCTGGCCTTTGTAAGTTCGTATCACTAAGGTTTGTTTAAATTTAATTAGATTGTAATGAAACAATCTGTATGAGGTACGATGGGACCGACATGTACGAATGTATAAAGTCCCTAAAAATAAATAAAGAGAAAAAAAAAGAAAAATACATTCCAAGTTCATTTTCGAAAAGAAGTAGGCCAAAAAAATTTATTGTTATCTTTTGCCCTACTTCTTTTCGAAGATGAACTTGGAATGTATTTTAAAATAATTTTCTGCTCAACTTTAAACACATATGTTACGAGTATACCTACAATTTGACAGACACATGTAGAGCGCTACAGTTGTCAAAGGGTTCTAAAGGCAAAAGATTTATTGTTTTCTTTTGCCCTACTTCTTTTAGAAATAATTTTCTGCTCAACTTTAAACACATATGTTACGAGTATACCTACAACTTGACAGACACATGTAGAGCGCTACAGTTGTCAAAGGGTTCTAAAGAAGACAATGATTTGTACAATATTTTTAGGATGCACTTATCCAAAAAGATCAAATGTAACCGTTTTTTCCTTATCTAACGATAAGGAAAAAACGGTTCCATTTAAGAAGTCATAATTATGAAAGATCTAGAATGTTAATGAAACATCTCCATAACGTGCCTATAGTTTGTAATATTTGTTTGCCTTTAAAAAAACAGTATTGCCATAACGCAACTTAAAAAATGAAAATAATATTGATAAAAGACATGATATTTCAGGGAGATTCCGGCAGCGAGTCGTCGCCGATTAGATTGAAAGACTTTAAAGGCCAGAATCACAAAGGCAGTGCGTCGGAGCGCGATAACCTTGTCACGTAGTGTAGTGCCTCAGCTAGGATCACACTGTGACGTCGCACACTGGAGCTAGCGTAGACCGACACACCTCGCGGCCAGCACACGATACGACTGCGACAAGACTACATAATACTTAGAATGCAATAACATAATTAAATTATATATGATAATTTTAACATATCATTGGGCGATTGTGACTGCTTGTTGAATAGAATTTCATTTCGTAGAGTGATAAATAATGTAAAAATATTACTTATTGTAATAATTGTTCATTCCAATCGAAAAGTTGAAGAAACGTATTTGTTAAGTTTTTTTACGTGCAATTATTAATTGCTAATTTTAATATAAGCGATATAGTTTGTACAGCATAGTTGATGAAAAATGAAGCAATTATTAAAATTAAACATTTTCTGAAATTGTTACGGATTCTTTATTATTCAAAACCTGTCTTAATGCGAAAAAACTGAATATGTTCTTAATTTAACGTGTGTATGTATAATATTTGTCCGTGTGGTGACGGATTAAGAATAAGGAGTGACACCACCCCTATTCATCCCATTGGTGTCGTAAGAGCCGATTAAGAGAGCAAAATACGCAGGACAACAGCACTGCAAAAAGAGAAAGAAAACTTGAAACAACTCCCGTACCAACCAGACGGGATGGCTTGGTTGGTTGGCTTTAGCGTTAGGGCTAGCTTGGTATAGTAGGCCAAGCTTTTGGCCACTGCCTATGTTCAGCAGTTGACTATTAAAGGCTATTGATGATGTATATTTTTAAGATAACTAATATACACCGCCTTGTTCTATAGTAGAGATCGATGTGCGATATGTAGTGGTGGGTGGTATTTCTACAACAGACCTCTGCAGGGTTCTCCAATATGCGCCCCGGTCCTCCGCCCGTCGCATCCAGTCCATGCTACCAGCTACCTTCTGAGATCGACAAATAATCTTAACTTCTTACATAAATTTTGACGCTAATGTCTCTTTACACAATTTGGATAATACAAGAGGCTGGTAAGTAAATGAAATCCAATTAGTCAACAATGATATTTATTTGGAAGCTAAATCTTTCCCTATTATAGAGTATTAAACATAGAATCATAACATAAAATTTTCATTAACGTTAGGTACGTGTTATATTAGAAAAAGGACAATAGTTTTAATTCACAAATGTCGTTATTAGATTTGCAAAATTTGAAAAAATAATTGAAATTTTTTCGACGTATACTATAAATTAGAAGTCACAAGTCAGTATGACTGATTTTTGAACACAAAAAGGATGTCCCAAATAATACTTTAGGTATTAGTCAGTTACGCAAAACATTTTATTAATACTTAAAATAAAAATTCAATTTGTATGAGTGATAACAAAATTCATATATTTAAAATACTTTGGTTCATGTGAGTACATTAACAAACAACTTATACAGGTTAAATTTAACGCAGAAATAAATCGTTCTGTGCCTAAAACATACACTGTCACAAGTGTTCGTATACCCGTCCATCGACTATCGACCGTTCTTTTGCAGAGAGTAGTTAGTAGACGTTAGGGCGCTTATTAGTCGCAATGATATGCAAGTAAACAGAATATATCCAAATTTACAAGACAGTTTGTCAACTTATTTAAACAAATATGTTTAAATAAGTTGACAACGAAATTTCATTTTTATTCTATTCAGTTCTTTAAAATAGAAATAAACATATGACTATCTGGAAAAAATATCTGGTGTCCAAAATGATTAAAAACCATAAATGAAAGCTCAACTTTAGCTGTTAAGAACTTGAACAGCATGAAAAAGAATAGGTGAATGACATGTAGTAGGAGGATGCATTACACGCATCATAGGAATCGAGAAAAGTACGTTTTAGGCTCAACCGGATTTAGGTGCTCTAGGTAAGGATACATAATATTCTAAGTTCAACTAATTGAACTTTATTGAATACTAACTGGTGTCCGCGACTTCGTTAGCGTGGAATTTAAAAAGCGCTGCCTTAGTGGTGTAGTTCACTATACGACTGTAGTAAAAATAGCATAAGTTACTGGTTAATCCTAGCAGGTAGCCGTGGTAGTAAAATATTATCAAAATCGGCAAAGCCGTTTAGAAGATTACCCGGAACAAACAGACAGGCAGACAAAAATATTTAAACTGGTTTTTAGGTATAGGTAACGTGCAAATAACCATGTGAGCACGAAATAAACTTATTATTTTGACATTACAAACAAACACTTCAATTTTATTTATTGACAGACACTGGGTGGATTAAGGGTTAAAAGAATACCAGACATATGTATGTACTTATTACATTTAAATTAGTGAAGAAAGTAACTAGTTATAATTTTCAGCAAGTTTAAAAAATCAACAAAACTTATTTCACGTTCTCACTGCTTAAGTGTCATAAACGATTTAGAGCTCGGGTGCTTTGTAACTTCGGACATATTCAACCACTTTATATGACAATCACACAAGTTCAATTCCTCTTTAATTTATTTGTGTACTTAGATATCAAAACTAACCTTCACGGGCCTAACTTGTATAGTGCACAATTCCCATAGACAACTTTTTTGCGAGTAAACCACAATTACTTGCAAAAATTGAACATTTGTCTCTATATACATTCCTTATTAATATTACACTTTCAATACATAAAAATACTTAAATGAGCCATTAAACAGTATAGTGGCTTTGAATGTCTATGTTAGCCGTATTAAAGTAAACGCTGCAAGAGGACCGTGCGACACCGCGTCAGATACATTATATACTAGATAAAATAAATGAACAACGTGTGTGAAGTGTGTGCACACTTTGATTAAGAGTGTGCCTATTGTCTAATCACTAAATAAATAGGTAGTGAAAATAAAATAAATATAGTATTTGTATAAAAAGGGTCAAAATACTCTTTACACTGTGATAGGAAACTGTATATTTGTAAAAAAGAAATGAATGCGTGAGTACGAGTAACTCATTCATTCTTGCTTCCAAGCTATTATTCGAGCGATATATTTCGAAAACAAACATCGCTTACAAGAATTTAATCGATTTAATTAATGATAGTGAGTATTTGCGTTTTTAAAGAAAAATATTTTTGTAAATATTACAAATATGTTCGACTAGCTTCTGTGACACACCAATAACTACTGGCTCTATTAAAATATACGCGAAAATGATAACGTGGAGAGACTTACTGACTATCAGCCTCTTTTGTATTTGTCATGTGTCTTTATTCACTTGTTTCATCTAGTATCGAATATTGTTCGGTCAAACACTTCTTCCCCCTACTTGTAGCCAATTCAGGCGAAGCCCATAAATAATGTACATTGTTAATCCATAATTATGTCTTACATTGAACACACAGGCACCTTACTTTAATATAATAATCTTGGCAGTATCATGGCACGTGCACAATTTATATTTCTGCTGCATTCAATACCTTTCTTAGACAATATTTAATTAAATTCTGTCCTCATATTATGTATAAAACGTGTCAAGTTTTTGTTCGTTTAACATGATAAATATAATCAATTATAAATTTAAAGCTTTCAGTAATGAAAAATATCACAAATAACATTGTCAGTTTATTAATTGTAGCCAATTGGAATTATCAGTGTCTTATTTTTGCATGGAAGCCATGTGGTTATAAAATGAATAGCAGTACCTAATAGTACTATGGTTATTATAAATGTGCTGCACAACATTTTCAAAATTATCTATTACATTGTTCTGAAATTTCTTGCGTTGTATATGCGTATTAGATGTGTAAATTGAAACCTAATCGTTATAACATAATTTTAAATGTATCCAATTTGGCTTTAAGTCAATTTATAAAAAATAATATCTAAGGGTTATCATCTCTATACAGCTCTTTTGTAATGATTTAAAAACTCTTGTTCAATCACTGGGTATACACAACTGCTCTACGTTTTGTAGAAACGTCTGAAAACGCAACAAAATCGTATAAACTAAATCAACTCTAACAGGATTCATTTAACGGAATGCGTAGTTTGCAAAACATTATAAAGCATCATTTATCTTAGAAACTAAAACAAAAAGAAACATTAAAAACATTCACTCCACTTGTTGTATTTAGTGATAAAACAAAACTGACAATAAACCATGCTAGGTAGCGTACGTTGGTGTATTACGACTGCCGAAGATGTACCAAATGTTGGCAATTTGTAGGTACGTAATCGCCCTTGTCGAGTCCACACAATCATGCCAATATATGATTCAAACTACCATGGTGATTTGCACTTGATAACTTATTATAAACGTAATATTTACCACGTTCATTTTCGGGAATCAGTTTCCGATGTTGTTATACAGTTAGCGCCATGATCACTGATGAACTGAGTAACTGCGAAGGTTGCATTTATAGCGCTTGCAACAGTGCCGAAATATGGGTAACTAATTTCATAATAAACATGATCAAGATCTCGTTTATAATAACATGTAAATCAATATGGCTCTTGTATTTTAGAGGACTAGGTGAACGTATTAGTGTCAATGTTTGTGATATAATAAAAATATATACTAATAATACACTGATAGAATAAAAAAACACAAATTAGCACGAACGCATTAGAAATTGACTTATTTTACACACGTGTATACAATACGCTTAATGAGAACTCACAAACACGCTAGTTAGTCACTGGCATAACACGACACCACAATTTTAAAAGGGTAGAAAATGCAAGTACGATGTTTCGCTCCTTCCATCTTCAGCAAACGCATGAAACATGAGGAATGTTCCCATCGAAGACTGCAATGTCATTTCATACATATGACGAACTTGCATTTACCACCACGTCCGTGTTTAAGATGTATGTCAACTACCTGTGCCAAGCGATCGTGAGTGCTGTGCGGAGCTTGCTCCAGATCCATGGGTATAAGCCACCGCCACGCCACGCCGCACGGGCGACATATTTCACGTAGTCGTATAAACCCCAGGGTGCGTGACCACCGTTTACGTAGTATACGTATGTAAACCCATCTTTATATCGCCTTTTTATTGAGTAGTAATATGGTAGAAATGAGTGCAGATGGAACCTGTAAAAAAGGGATAAGATAAGTCTTTACATCTACCTAGGCAATGCAGCGCTGGCATACAGAGGAGCAGATGATTATTTTTTCAGTCCAATTATTGTGGCAAAAGTTACAAAAATAAAAACATAGTCTTATATTGAAATTGAGTACCGTAAAGTGGGGCTACATGAACATAACACGTACATGTTTTAACTTGTCTCACGAAAGTGTGGTGTAGCTGCGTATTTGCTTATTTGTGTTTTTTTTTCTATTCTTATCGATTTTCAGTGTGATAGTGAAAAGACTCCAGGGTCAAAACCCTAAAAGAATTAGAAAGAGGGTGACCTGAAAAAAGCTATTGATGCAGTTCGAGGGGTAATGTCAAAGAAAAAGGCCGCAGAAATATTCAAAATGAAGAAACATTGGCCGAGACACCAACACTAGTGAGGAAGATGCTTGGAAGAAATATGAATCCTGTTGGACACCCAACCGTTTTAAGTAAGTCTGAGGAGCAGTTGATTTCTGACACGTCTACTTGCGGTATTTGCACATTAATTGGAAAGACCGCAATGGTAAGATTGATTGGATACAGTGTCTGAAATGCAAATACTGGATATGTGGTGTCAGTAACAATGGAAGATGACTCGGAAGAGGAAGAAATCTGATAGAAGTTAGGTAGTATTAAGGGAAAAATTTGAGATAATTTAAATTTGATCTCTTCTATGTGCCACTTTTTTTTTAATTATTATTATATATATATATATTGTGAGGTATATACCTACATATATATGTTTAATTTTAGTTTTCTTAGATTGTTTAAAGCAATTATAAGGCACACTGTTAATTAAAGAATATTAAATACAGTTTTAATAAAGGTATAAATGTTGATTTAATATAATCATTTGAGCTGCTAGGAAATTCTTGCACGTATGTGATTTTTACATCTGAATCTGAAAATTTAAACATCTGAAGGTATTACTATCCATTTGTTTTTATAAAGCATGCGATACTTGCAAATATAAATTTAGCTCATGCTTGGATAAACTTCCAATGCACGCTATTTATAAACTGCAATGTGAACTTTATTTCGGCACATACGTTTATTATTAATTTGTAGTTGGTAAACATTCTCTCTCTGATTTGGCTTGCGATGTATGTATTTTTATATTTAGTCATGCAACAAGGTCATGATACTTGTAAATGAATGAAAATAACTAACACTGTAATACTCAATTTAAGTTATTGTTTTAAAATTTTAAACGAAACCTCCTTAAACAATTAACTCAGACAATAAGTTATTAACGGTGAAGTGCAATGTTTGAGCACATGTTAAAAAAACATGGTGTATCACTACACGTGTCTCTATTGTCGATGACCGGGTCCTCAATAAAGAATTAAGTAAGCCAACCTTGACAAAGCTTAGCTAGCTTAGCTTGGCGTAGCTTAATTTATTACAAATACCTCCGCGACATAGGAACAGTCCTAGTACGGAAGTTACTAGCCTTTGGCAGTTTGAACGCATTATTAAAGGCGTTGGCAAACTAACGTATAGTTGAGAATGCTTTCACCCTACAGTACTTTATTATCTACTAGCTTTTGCCCGCAGCTCTGCCCGCGTGTATGTCAGTTATCGCAGTAAAAAGTAGCCATGTTACTCGCTGATAATGTAGCTTTCTATTGGTGAAAGAATTTTGAAAATCAGTTAAGTGGTTTAGGCGTGAAAGCGTAACAAATAAATAAACTCACTTTTACATTTATAAGTATAGATCTACTCTTAATATTGAGAGGAAAACATCTAAAATATAAAGAATTACGAATAATGGACAGATAAATAGATAATTATATATCGATAACGCGTGTTATCGATGTGTATTTCCACCATTTACGACCAATTCAGTCAAGGTGAACAAAATTATATCTATTGATATGATGATATATACTTTTATCGAACTATTGTTTCATACCACACCTATTTATTCTTATCGGGATATATCTCGTACGTATCAAACTGTTACGAAAAATGAGTGTTAGTGATTCTGGTTAAGAACTTCCCATGCGGGTATTTTGAAAGTATGAAATAGACAGGTTTCTCATAAGTAGTGTTTTTCTTATTAATGACTATAATTGATATTACTTTGATTGATTGCAAGTTTTTAGGTGATTTTTAAGGCTTATTTTTCGAAAATAGTTGACTGTTTTGAAAAGAACTCTTGAAAATCATTTCGTACAGAAGAGGTTTTCGATAAGAGGTAAGTACGGGATGACATTGCCTTAATTTATAAGGCAATTTAAAGATTAAATAGATTGTTTGATAAAAGTGTATGCTAAAAAGATTTCAAGTTTATTCGAACACAAAAACTATTCTTGTGGTTATGACAAAGTAGGAAGCTAGTTTCTCGTTTATTTCACTTCTCTTCTTTTCTTCAACTACAAACAGTTTTGACTAGTAGTTATTTTTTAATTAGTAGATTTCTAGTTAATATAGTAGATATCACTCAATCACGTGGCGCTTAGCGTTCGGTGCTAGTACATTTTAACTTCTCACATCACGTCGTCGTCTCGCCCCGCTTACTCTCTGCCTCAACCAAAGTCCTGTAAACTAAAATTATTAAATCCAAATTTGTGACTAACCTTCTGTGTTCGTAAAAAAGTATAGCTTCTGTGTTAGTGGTGAGTACATGTAGAAATATCGCCTTAACACGGTGCTCATAAGGCGGTTGAGGTACCGGCCCTGACAGGTGATTGATCAACACCTCCAGCAGCATCGTCGCCACTCCCGACCGTCGAAACGAACGAGCTACACCTAGAAAATTAGATATTCAAAGGTCAATCAGAAAACAACAATATTGTTTAACGATTGGACAACAGGAGTAGACCAGGCGCGCAATACAAGTTTTTTGGGTAGTATTATTTTTAAATCGTAGGAAAAACGATTGATGACAAATGAAACATCTTTATAGGTATTGGTGTTTTAATATTTACTTGAGATTGTACAAAAACAACGGAAGCACACGTAGTTGGTGTCAATTGATGTGAATAATTACAAAAAAGATTTTGCTCCCTCATAACACGAAAATGTCAGGCTATTATTAGTTCACAGTTTTATAGACAGAAATCAATAATCTTTCACTTGGAGCTACTCACTTACTAACTAGGCCTACATTTTTCAAAGGTACCTTACTTAACGTAAAATATTGCAAAACATGAAAACACCCTTCAAATATATTCATTAATAATAAACAATATTCACCGTCACGGATTTGTACATAGAAAAAAAACTAGTGCAACTACTGTGCATAAACCAAAAATGATACAATAAACAAATTGGAACTATCACTTGAGCCGATAGATGTTTTTTTCTGAAAAAATTCAAGAAGTTGCTCTAAATCTTGCAATTATCTATGATGTCCTAAATATTGTTAAATACCTATATACTCTAACAGTTTAGAGAAGGTTCATTTGTATATAGTTTGAGCAAGAACTTTTTCAAATTTTACTTCTATAGTTAAGATTGGGGCAGACAACGGACGGAGCGAGACTGAAATTTACGTTATTACGTATTTTAATTCGATAAACGAAACAAAAAAACGATCTAAGTGGCGTGCAATGGGAGAGGCCTATGTCCAGCAGTGGACTGCGATAGGCTGATGATGAAACGAAACAAATCTAATTACGACTAACTCTGAAGCGTATTTTGAGTGGAAAACTTACACCTAATTCTCTGGAATTGTAAATGAATGACAAGCTACAAAACGTGTGCCGTGCCTATGTGTAGAAGTACTAAAATTGAATTTCCTGACAAATTGTTTATTCAAACTTCGAAAGCAGTGGTTACAGTTAGCACGTCGAGGCCCAAGGTTTACATCTGATAAATCTGCAATATTCTTTTCCTATGATATACTAAAAATAAACTAAACCTAACCTAACATGTTCAAAAAGCATGAAAAAAAATTAAAGTAAGTAATTTGTGTCACTTTACAGCTGCCTAATGATATGGCAAATTATAACCAATACAGTGTGATGGGTTCTGTTTTAAGAAAAAAATAATTGTATAATTATTGTTAATCTATAAACTACTATATTTAACACTTTTCATATTTTACCGTGACAACTGTCAATAGCCAATTATCAAAATTGCAGGAATCTGCTTACATACGTCATTGTACACACAACAAAATAGGAACAGACTCATGTCTATGACAAGTCATTGAGGTTTATCCTATGTTGTTGTCATCACCCTCTTTCATCAATTAACGAGGGAATTTCATAATGTAACGTCTAATTCAATTAGTTTAAAAAAAGAATTCACTATTACCTAATATAGTTTGAAAAAAATATTTTACCGTATCTCGGTGGTTTTAACTAGGTATATAGTCTAAAGACCTTGACTTTAGTGGTTATTACATTTCGTGCACGACCTTGCTCAGAATGCCAACTGAAACTGTGAATCGTTACTATGTTCAAATATAATACAGGTAATCCGAGTACATACTGAGCATAACATTTTAGCCGCGCCGTTTTATGACTATTTAGTACCTACTTACAACATACAACATTATGATATAGCGTAAGAATGATTCATTGAAAGGAACTTAGTACCTATGATATACCTTGACTTTTAAATGGTTCGCCGATGCAACTTCATGTTCAATAATGCTCTGTTTGCGACTGTGACACTGTGTGACGCAGACAAATAACGTTCTAGTATAAACACAAGCTCCTGTTTGTCATCTGAGCCTTACATAAGTGATATGGATTAGACCAATGATACTTCATACTAGATATGTTGCCTTCGTACTATGGCAATATATTTAAAGAGCAATGATAAAAGACATAGATAACTAATAGCATATATTTGGTACCGTCAATAACACTATTGTATAGTAAAGAACATTATTGGTTTGTAGTTTGTAATTCGTTAAACTCTCATGATAAATTACCGGTGATGGAGTCGATTTCCCTACATGGATCACTACTAAAAACCTAAATAAACTTGGTGTTAAATGACACCTGCCTTTTTTGGTCCTAAACCTTGCATGCTGTCATACACGCTCGAATCAACAATTTCCAGTATTTTGTTATTGTTATTTTATAGCAACAAATTGGTAAATTACACGGGTAAACCGTGAAATTTACTAATTTGTCTGACGTGACGCATTCCGGTGACAAAAAATCAGAGTTGTTTAGAATATTTGGTCACCATTCGGTAGCCGGCCTAAATTTATTATCCGGCTGGATACAGTGGATACCATATATATAATTTACTCACTGAATTACAAATATTTTAATATGTTCATATATTTTGTTTTGTATAATTATAGTCATCTTTTCATTTCCAAAAACTAAATATGTTGTTGTTTTACTGTATTTAAGATAATGATGTATCCATTTTTTCTTTGCATCAAGAGCTAATAAAGAATTTTTATTGTTTTCATATAAAGGGCTAGCTACATAAAAATATTCCAATACACTGTCGTAGGATGCATCTATCATATATATACTGGGTCTACCAATAGGGATGACCTGATTTTGAACGCTCATAGCGGCCATGTTTGATGATGGATCTTTGACGTCTCTTGACATTTGTGTTCAGTAAGGTTTGCCATTTTATCATGTCACGTTTCACTTTAAACCAACGCTTGGAAATTGTCCAAAATTATTACGCAAATTCGCGTTCTCCTACTGCTTCAGTAAGAGCGCTTCGCGCAAAAAACGGACGTCATAGTGCTCCTTCTGTGCGCGCGATAAACCGCATAATAACAAAATTTTAATGTGAATTCACTCTCCACGATGCTGCTGTGCCTGTGAGACAAAGAAATGCCCGTAGTGAAGAGAATATCGCAGCCGTTCAGGCCAGTGTTGATGCGAATTTAAATCGATCAGTTCAACGCCGTTCACAAGAGTTGGGGCTCTCTCCTATGACCACCTGGCGTATTTGCGGTTGGATTTGGGCCTACACTACTACAAAATTGTTTTGGCATAAGAATTGAAGCCATCCGACCATTGTATCCGTCGTGAATTTGCCGATTATGCACTGGAAATGATGGAGCCGATGACGATTTTCATCGTAAAATCATCTTTACAGATGAGGCCCATTTCTGGTTCAATGGATTTGTTAATAAACAAAATTATCGCTATTGGAGTGAGTCAAATCCACGTGTGGTTCATGAATCACCATTGCATTCGCAAAAAATAACAGTTTGGTGCGGTTTATGGTACGGTGGAATCATTGGTCCGTACTTCTTTGAAAGTGACGAAGGGTTTCTGTTACTGTGAATGGCGAGCGCTATAACTCGATGTTAACCGAATATTTCTTTCCGGAATTTGATGATATTGATGCAGACGACCTTTATTTTCAACAAGACGGTGCACCACCTCACATTACTCGAGTGAACATGGAATTATTGCATGGAAAGTTTGGTTAGTCGTTAATTTCGAGAAATGGACCGATCAGTTGGCCACCAAGATCGTGTGATTTAACACCTTTAGACTATTTTATTTGGGGTTACGTTAAATCTAAAGTGTACAACAATAATCCAGCTACAATTCGTGACCTAAAAACCAACATTCGACAAGCCATAGCCGACATACCGGCCGAAATGGTGCACCGCGTCATCGAAAATTGGCGTGAGCCGCCGCCGAATGACCGCCGCGGCTCTTTTTACAGATGGTCACCCATCCGTAAAAAGAGCCGCGGCGGTCATTTGGCCGATATATTATTTAAAACATAAATTGCATAAAATTATCTATCAAAAAAACCAATCGGATGCATTTTTCATAAAAATTGTGTGTTTTATTCAATTTTTAAACCAGGACGTTCTTATTGGTAGACCCCATACATGTATTTGTTATTTTTTTTTATTTATTACCTAATTAAAGAAATCGCTAAAGGGGTCGTAAGCTTTGCGAGAAGCTTCTGCTTGATCGGATATCCGGTATCCGGCCTAACAGCTACTTTACATTTTTATTAAAAAGTATATTAGTATAGGTGGCTATGAGTAAAGTAGGTACTACGTCAAGTTTATTAGATTTTAGAATAAGAATTGTTAGAACGACCGTGAATTATACCCTAAGCGTTATATAATTATGTATATGTGTGGGAATTATCGATCACCTTGGTTAAAGGCAGACTTTAGTCTATTAGGCTTCCGACCAGCTGACGGCCTGTGCAACCTGGTAGTAACGTCATTAAATTAAAAGGGATACCTATTACGCTGTCGCGTTAATTCGCGTACATAAACATAATTATATATCTTGGAAAGCGAAAGTTTAAAAGTGAGTACACTCTAAGTGAGTTCTCACAGAATGCTCCACCTTTGATTTTATAATCAAGGACGCCAAAACTACCGATTTGTATTATATAAACATTGTGGTACGAGTTTAAACTAAACTCGGACTAAGTATTTGATATGCCTTCGGTACTTTAACATTACTTATTTTGTGCCGATTTCCTGTTTACTACAAAAATTGTATCAAAGCGAGTATCTCCGTGCTCCATATTATAGGAATTAAAAAAGTACTATCTTAATACCTATAAAATTAGACTCGGATACATTCTTCTAATGAATATTTGCATATATACAGAGGCGTAGCGTGGACTAATATAGACGTGGGAAAAGTCGCATCAGCGAGGCCCCTTTCTTTCGTTCCCAAGACATAGGTATATACATACACACTACATACATCTATTTTACCAAACATGCTTTGACACGACATACCTTCTCATGATAGTGAAAATGCGCGATGGCAGAATATTAGAAAGCAATTAGATTTGAAAAAAAGTTTTATGTTGTAACTTGCGTGATTTAATTTCTTACCAAAATAATTTCTTCGGCTTTTTGCTTTACTGAAGTCCTCTGGTAGACTTGTAATTAATTTTTGCAGCTAAATCAGCTTCGATGAAAAGTATTGCTAAAACTGGCAGTCCCACCTACTTGATACTGTTTCTTAAGTAGTTTTAGTCATTTTTAACTTAGAAATACTTCTTTATAATAATAATATAAAATGATGTTATCGTTTCAATGCTTAAAAAACTTGTTATTTGCCAAATATTTAAAACTATGTCGTACAAGTACCCAAAATTGTTGTAATATTCAGTTAATGCAGTAATTCTTGTGCTAATGTCTTGTATTACGGTTGAAGAAAGGAAGAGGTTCTCTGTCGGAGTCGGCAATGTTGGCATTTGTCTTGACATAGTCGACGCTTTGAATCTCCTCACGTGGTGGGTGATTAGGAAAGCATTGGTATATCACCAGTTGTTCCCTTGCCCGTGGGAAATCTTCAGGGCTTATTTTCACGACAGGTCCAAATGGTATATGGATCGAGACGGCGAAGAATGTTTAAGAGAACCTGCCTTACAAGTAGGGTTCTCGAGGTGTCTTTCCTAAGACCTTTTCTGTGGAACCTCGCGCATTATGCAGTCCCAATAACTAGTATTTCCCTAGAAGTAAATGTCGTCTGTTACGCGGCGGAGGACTCGGAGCTGGTCGAGTTAGGGATAATTTGTGTCATCCAAAAGATAATCGATTTGGGCCTACGGCTAGCGCGCCATAAGACGTCATCCCTTGGATTAACAGAAACTCTCTTACCAGCTCGCTCATTAGCGTAGGGTAAACAGAGGTCAAGGTCAAACGACATAACAAGTATTTCAGCTTCACCCTGGACTGTCGCTAGAGTTTCGAGGAGGATTTTGCGCGGATTATACGCCAAGTTCTCGGGGTGGCGGTCTCCCTACAGAGGCTGCTGTCTAATCTAGGGATCCGTGGGAGGGAATTCGCCGCCTATAATGTGCGGTGATACGAATCATGGCCCTCTACGGTGCGCAGATATGGGCTAAGCGCCTATCAGCTTCTTTCCGCTACCGAACTCAGCTCAATCAAGCGTATCGGGTAGCGGCTATTCGGATCGTACGTGAACACCTCACCATTTCGTCAGAGGTGCATGGTGACAGACCTGACACTTTTGATGCCTTCGGATATCCTGGCGGATACGGCCACAAGGGTCTTCGACCAGATACGTGCTATTCGCCGGGCTGATAGCGGGGAGGTTCAGGACAGGTTCGAAATGCGGCGAAGCACTCACCCACAGGCACTGATGGAAAGGCGCGCGGCTGGTCCTACCGTGGAATGTGCGCTGTTGGTGGCGTTCTGCCTAACCTCGAAAAGTGAAAAGTAGGGAGGCAGGTCGCGTCCTACCAATTGACACAGGTTCTCCTCGGGCATAGTTGCTTCGGTGATTACCTGAATTCGATCGGACATAAGTAGACAGCACAATGACAGTACTGCCCAGCCAATGGGGCAAGCCCTTTGCGCAAGAGAAATGTCCTGCTTGGGTGTCTAAACGGGAGGTTCTGATAAATCGATTCGGGCTCGATTTGTCCCCTCCGGCAATCGTATCAAAACACGGTCGCGCCACAGCACTCAGGTAGTAACTGGGTCAAAAGGCGCGGGAAGCCGACGGTATCTTCTGGGATAGAAAAAGTTATGCGCGGCGTTAATACGGGAGGGACCTGATATCATATGGTCCAGTTCCTCCCAGAGTTGAGCGCCTGAGGCCGGACGACGGGCGGATTTTTAGAGGAAACACCACATACCCTAACTCCTACTCCAAAGCGCTGGTAATCCAAAGGGATTTTCCAGCCCGTTAACAAAATAATGCCTAATTAGTAGTAGCCCAAGCCTCTAAAAATTTAGGAGCCGCCCCTGCTCATAGCTATTAATGGCTAACAGTCTCGTTTTCCGTCAATCTGACGGTCGCGGTAAAGGTAGTAATGATCTCGCAGTCGCACTTAAGATCGGGCTTCTTGACTCGAGACAAACACACTACGAGAGTAAATGTGATCAAATTAATGAGTCATCTGTGGTAAAGTCTTTAGGCACCGCATTTAAAGGAGCCGCGCGAGGCTGCCGATTTTGAGGCCGTGGGCGATGGCCCACTTCACCCACGCCTAGCTACGCCACTGCATATATACTTTAATATTTGAATATAGTTGAATACAACTGTTCTTACCTAAGGAGAGTATATATGCCACTAGGGTATCCTTTGAAGCAAACCATCGTGACAGTATCCCTCTGTCCTCTGCATTCAATTTCAAATAAGGCTTGATTTCTGCGACTATAAGGCCGATTATTTGACTTTTGTGGACAGCAGCTAGAGCAAAAAACCTCTCTGATGACGTTATGTCCTCATACCATGATTGTGGATACTCTATTGGAAACCAATCTCTACATAGAGATCTCACCTGTAAGTAATAATGTTGCAAATGTTTTAAACACGGGCAAAGCACATCGTGGGATGGGAATGTAATGTTTTTTTTTTACATTGTTTTGAATAATTGTGGCAGAATGAGATAAACCCATCATGTTTGTTTCACATGAATAAGTGTAGGTACCTACTTTGCTTACGACATATTACGATCACCAAATTTTATGCACCTAGATTATCATTTAAAGGAATTAAGGCAACCAAATGCTGCAGTGTCATGTCTGGGCCTGTTTTTAAACGCTTAATAATGTGAAAATAATAATCATTAATGACTAAATAAAGCCAAAATAAATTATAGTTTGAAAAAACCAAGATTTTTTTCTATAAGTTCTATAAAATGATTTTTCGTTTTGAAAATTAGCTATTGTCTACTTTTTAGTCGGCCAATTACAAAAACTAGTTTTATGTTTTTTTGAACCTATAATTTGTTTTGAAATAAATTTGAAGACCTAGAATGTGTTTGTCTACATTCATACAATTTAAATTATATAAACAGCTATGGTACTGCAATAACAACATGATTGTATCCTTGTTCGATATTATGTATACATAATATAGTACAAGGGATATATCATTAAATATTAAAATACATAATAATAAATAGGTAATAGCATAAAGGGTAAAAAAAAATGTGATGTGTGCCTAATTAAACGTAACTTCACTTTCATTTTAGAATTATATGAAGGAACTCTTTTTTTGATCTTTCTGAGGAAAAATCTGATCAGCGATTTGATAATCAAATTTTGTTTTGCCAGTATTATTATTTATTACACTATGTTTAACTTTAATATCCTTTTATAATATAAATATTATAAAAGGATATAAAAGGAAATAAGGCCAAAACCTTCTTTCTAAGGAGAGGCCTATGTCCAGCAGTGGACTATTAAAGGCTGTTGATGTGATGATGTGATATAAATATTTAAGGAATCACCAAAAATGTTAATTCAACAAGCTTTTTGTAATTTCTGCTAATTATGCATTAGAAATAATTATCTTGAGTAATCAATTTAATCTGTTTAATCCATGTGGTGACGGATTAAGAATACGGAATGTCACTACCCCTATTCATCCCATGGGTGTCGTAAGAGGAGCCGACTAAGGGAGTAAACTACGCCAGACAACAACACTGCAAAAAGAAGGCAAACTTGACACAAACCCTATACCAACCCGTCTGGCCAGAGTGGTATAGTAGGCCAAAAGCCTCCTTTATAAGGAGAGGCCTATGTCCAGCAGTGGACTATTAAAGGCTGTTGATGATGATGATGATAAATCAATTTAAAAACAAATAAAACAATAAGACGAAGAAGAAGTTATATATATTTCCTGAAATCTAACCTAGAATTTCTTTTTAATATAATAGTGAAATATGTGATTGACTCCTGACTCACCTGATGAAAAGGAGGCAATGAACATAAAAATGGTACAGGCCTATCCAAGAGAAACCTATTCACTCTACTTTTGAAACATTCTGTCCCATTAATGATCTGGAAACATAGGTGCATGCAGATCATGCCAGACTTTTGATGAAGTAAACCCAAAAAGTAACTATCAAAGCAGCTGTCTTAGTGCGTTACTTATAATTTTTGGATTTAAACATTGTAAGGATGGAGCCTCCGTCTACAACCAATGGTCTAATACAAAGTATGGTGACTCCTTAATAAAAAAAATAAGCTTTCATACATTCACCGAAGTTAATTCTATTTAACACTGATTAAGAAAGAATAACACTCCAGAATAATAATTCCTTCCCTGTTTGTGACCACTGAATTGTTTTCACTAATGACTATCTGCTTTCAACTTTTGACAAGCAAGTGTATCATTGATGACCCCATAAGCTTATGCTTAGCGGGCTAAGTAAAACTTATTTAAGTAAATAACTACAAAATAAAGGTTCTATGTTGTAATTTGGATTTTCCACTGATTTATAATATTTATTTTAGGAATAAATAAGTTATTGGCTACTATGAATCATATTTAATATTTTCCTTGAACGATTTGTTAGTAATCAAATTAACAATGACATAGATTTTAGAACACAATTTGATTGACCTATAATTTGATTGCTTGCAGAGATGTTTACCAACTCTGCACGCAATCAAATTATAGGTAAGGTGGTCTATCTAATTTTATGTAGATAAACGTGAACTTCATATATTTTTTATTATTTGTTTCAGATAAGATTTAAAGTTGATTTATTGTAACAAACTAGTTAAACTGTAACAATTCATCATCATCATCATCAACACCCTTTAATGGTTCACTACTGGACACAGGCTGCTCCTTAGAAGAGGTTTTAGGATACTATAACAATTGTTACTACTTAATTGTTAACCAAAAAGGAAAAAAAAATAGTAGTCTTCAAGTATTTATAAATTTCTGCTATTGTTTAAGTCTAAAGAAAAAAGATGATGTCAGGAAGTACATTAATTATTACTAACCTCCTCCAAGTCGTCAGGGCACAAGAAACGCAACTGAACTTCTTTTAGTGAGCATTTTGCTTCTTTCGACTTCTCAATTATTACCTGGAAGCCTTCAGAAAGATACCTGAAACATTAAAGTACAATGAAGTGACCTACCTCACAATTACTTAAAATGATTTTTCAAATGGTATTACAAGTAGTTCTTTTTATTAACAATTAAAAGGATTAAAACTTATTTTTTTTAAATAATTTTTTTTTTTTATAAATTCTCGTCGAAAGAAAATTAGTTTTTTTTTTCTAGTTTTATTATTCATTCTCATAAAATAGGTACCTACTCTTTAAATACTATACTCATTAATATCGGCTTTGTTCTCTATTCAATTGGTAAATTCATCCAATTAAAGAGTTCAAGGAACAACATACATACAAACAACTGTACGTAAAACACTTAGAATTGAATCCCAATAAATATTTGTAGACAACACTAATACTCACCAGCTGAACCCAGCCATTCGGTAGATCGGCCATTAATATTGTCCCTTAATAATCTTCGTGCATGAACGTTATCATTTCCAAAAAATATTATTGCAACTGGAGAATATCTAATAACCACAAGCCCGTTATCATTTTACTTTAGACTAAATTTCGATTTGTCAAATCGTCAACTGACAGTTATGACACTCCAAGCGAGGGCTAATTCTGCAATTTTTTCAACACAGAATAGGACAAGTAAAGAGGTGGCCTTTGAGGTTAATACTTATTAATCTTCAAAAAGGTTACCACATATTTATTAACATACTCGTAACCGCATAAATTAAGTATTAATTAAATATTTGTGTGAACAAATTTTACAGATGAATAAGTGAATTTTTGTGTAGAGAAGGAAGAAGAGAAGAGAGAAGGTCCATACGAATGACACTAAAACTTGGTAGTAGTTTGTAAGTTTTGATGCTATGTAATATTGGTATAGTAGGCCAAAACCTCCTTTCGAAGGAGAGGCTTATGTTCAGCAGTGGGCTATTAAAGGCTGTTAATGTGATGTGATGTGAAAAGGGTAGAACATTTATAAATAGATAATGTCAATTTTAAATTATAAAATACAGTTTAGCTTGATGCTCCAATCTTAAAATGATTTTTATGTAGGTACGAATGTCCTTATATTGTTTACATAATGTTTATCAGTTGAGGTTATTCGGTTTAAACTGCTGTCGTTCAGAATTTCTGCTAGCAATTACTTTGCTACTTATAAAGATATTAATATTTTTCTTCTTATGTTGTTGCGCGAAGCCACTGGTTGAGTGAGGCTCCGGGCAGTAGCTCATCCACGAAGGCTACCACTGTTGTCGGCTCTTTGTTAACGTAGCTTGTAAGTAAACTTGCTTGTAAGTAGACGAAACGCAATTTTAAAATGAGCAATAGGTACTATAATACTAAATATATATATACTTAATAAAACCTCTATGGCGAATTAGCATAGCGTTATAACTGATTGCGACACGTGACTTAAATTTACCTAGTTTAATTTATCTAGTAACATTACTGTACTCCTTGAACTACATTTTCCACTGACTTAGTACGCCTGACTACTAATGTCGTTATCACACTGAAGCCATTTGATTTACTCTAATTTGGCTCTAAAAACAGTATGAAGTTCCTTAAGTTCTAATATTAGGGAGGAGACATAACTAGCAAAAAATGTTTGCATCACTCTATCGATATAAATTCATTGTAATTTCTACTTTATATAAATAATGAGAGACCTATGTTCAGCAGTGGACTATTAAAGGCTGTTGATGTGATGATGATGTGATGAACGTAAACAAGCTATTTACAATTATTTACAAGTATTAAAATAAAAATTATCTTTTCTTATATAAATATATATATATTTATGTTAGAGGGGACAGACGAGCAAACGGGTCACCTGATGGAAAGTGACCATCGCCACCCATGAACGCCTGCAACTCAGCAGTCACAACAAATATAATTTTACAATGTATAGACGTGTAATTTGACTAGTAATTTTGTGTATATTATTCTTTAAATCGTATTGCTTTAAACAAACAAATCTTATTAAGATCTCGCAAAACGTTATCATGTTTTGGATAAAATTTTGTATTTAATGTATAGGTGATATTCCTGGAAAAAGAAATTTAAAAAAAAATCTGATTCCGTACCTTACGTATACTAAGGATGAAAGTATTCTGTGTTTTTTTAGACTAAAATCTATTTTTTTCTCAATTGTATCTAGATCCATTGTGGATCCGCCTTGTATCAATCGCCTCCGTTTGTGCTATTGAAGAAAATAGAAAATGTTGCGAGCAAGTGCTAGTGTCTTTAGGAAGCCATATGGTTACCGCAAGATTGGACCCAAACGGCTCTAAATGCAGCTTCTTTAGTAAATCTCACAATAATTAATATTAGAAATATTTATATCGAAATTGTGATTGTGCTGTTCCAACCCTAATCATGTTGAACGATCGTCACACTTCAACAGAAGAACTTCTTAGAAACTTCTTAAGAAAGTAAATATTTCATTTTACTATCTCATGTTACTTCTTTTGTAATTATTATTTTGGTATAGTTTGACAAGAAAACATTGGAAATAAATAAAAATAGATGATGATGATGATGCCCATGATACTAAATGTGGGTTTTAATCGAGCTTCATGGAGACTTATTGCATTTGAAAGATCAGGTAATAGAATGAATAAAAGTTGTATAATGTATCCACTTCCAGCAGTGGGAAAAGCTTATACAGGTTTTTTTATATGGGACTAATCCCACCCACACGCCCACCACTGTAACTCCTGTGCACCAGGATCCACAGCAGTGACCCACGAACACACCGAGTTATGACACTCGGGAAGTCCCAGGAAGAAATTAAACTGTCTTGGAACCCGCAACGAAATTAATCAGAAGAAAATTGGAGGAGTTGGAAATACAGTAAATCCACTTCCCTCCTTAGCAAAGCGGGAGACAAAATGAAGTAAAATGGGCATACACCCTTTTAAACAGGGAAGCACCACGGCCACAAATATTACGGGTCCTACGTGAGCTATGTTTGATTTCTATAATATGTATGGCAGAATCGCCTAAACGCACGGAAATTCACCCTAGTTGACACAAGATCCCCATAGTATACCGCCCCAGATGTCACCTGCAAGCTATTCAGCATTATATTACGTTCATTATACCAAAGACTACATTCCCAGAGGATATGATGAGCAGACTGTTCATAGTGAGAGTTAGGTGTTGAGCATTGACACAATGGTGACTCGACTAATTTAAATGAATAAAGCTTGCTCTTAAAGTTACCATGACCCGTAAGAAATTGAGCGACACAGTGATCCACCTCAAGCTATATCTTCGACAACCGTTCGCGAACAGATGGAAAGAATTGGTAAAGATGGCGCCCCTTGGATGATTCATCCCAGCGTTGTTGCCATTCGTCTATGAGGTCATTATAGACATCGGGCTGCTGTTGAAGCAATCTTGTAATTTTACCGCGATCCCGCGCGCCCAAAAAATCGCATTCCATGTTTTGTTGTCTTGAATAGTACATGGCTGCACGTCTCTGCACCTCGAGATCGACCGGAAGCACACCCGCCAACACCGGCAAAGCCTCAGTGCTAACCGTCCTATATGCCTTACACAAGAATATCAGTGCAAGTCGTTGGCCTTGTAACAGTTTGCCACGGCCCATACACATATGCCATGCACATAAAACCTAAATAAGTAGCTCCGTATATGATCTTTAATGTATTAAATGATAGAGCCCATGTTGCAGTTGATATCCTTGTCAATGCACAGAAACTCTTTTTAGACTTTTCATTAACTATTTTAATATGTTCGATAAATGAAAAGTTTATTTCTAAAACTAATCCTAGGTAACACACTGAGGTTTTATTTTTTACAGTAACATTGTCAAATCTAATGCTTGGCGGTGATTTGAGGTTACCTTTTAAAAGTAGCTGGAAGGTTTTGTTGGGTGCAACAGTTAAGCGATTACGTTCACCCATTGAGATATCAAGTTCAAACATCTATTGGCTGATCTCTCAAGTCCCGCCCTAGTATCAGATTCCACCAGTAATAAGCCGTCATCAGCATACGCGTTCAGAATACATCCGGATGGTATTGGTATGGCTAGAAAATCGTCGAAGCCGATATTCCACAAGTATGGACCTAGCACCGATCCCTGAGGACATCCCATTGTAAGCGCCTTCGCCACAGAATGATGACCAAGTCTTAGTTTAGTTGTACCTTGTGAAAAGTACGAAGAGATAAGGGAATAAATATTTTTAAAGCACCCTCGTGATTTTAATTTCAGCAACAGCATGGGCCACCATGCGTTGTCGAAGGCGCCAGATATATCTAAGAAAATAGCCAGCACGTATTGAAATTTTGACTCTGTGACAAACTTTCTAACCGATATAACAGCGTCAGTTGTCGATTTACCCAACGTAAATCCAAATCATCTATTATGAAATTTGACTCCACCTGGCAGAAGCCGGGGCACTACAAGACGTTCTAAAAGCTTTCCTAACGATGGTAACAATGTGATTGGTCGGTAGGATTTAGGATCATCCGGTGGCTTGTCGCCACTTTTTGGTATTATACGAATATTACCGCACCGCCATATACGAGGAAATATTCCTTCAGCAATGCAACATTTAAAGACAGTGAAAATCTTGTCACCCGAAAGTTTACAAGCTTCTTTTATCATTTTGTTAGATATTTTATCATCGCCCGAAGCCTTGTTTAGCGGCAAGGATCGAATGATACCGAGAAATTCGTCTGAAGATGGTAAATCAGACATTGGAGACAGTGGTGGTTCGATGGCCCACTGCCTGATCTGTCGGTGATGATCAGTGTCGTTTTCCGGTCGATTGTCAGGTACAAGTGATTCTAAAAGATATTCTGCTGTTTGCTTACTCCCGTGGTATATCTGTTATTAATTTTGATGTTCTGTATGTATGCAAGGTCGATTGATCTATTTGCCTTAAATTCGTGATACAAAGGTGACCACGGGCCCTCTCTATCGAGTGTATCAACAAGTTTATGACTTAAGTTTCCCTTGGATTTTTCCACAGCAGCTCTGTAGTGGGACCTGGCAACTCTAAGAGCAATGAGAGCATTATTGTACAAATCTCCTGTTACGTTATGTTTTTTAATAGTGTTTAGCTTTCTACGAGCTTTCCGGTAGCTTCTACGTAGGTCGGCTAATCTATCATTCCACCAATCTTATCTACGAGTGTTAGTGATAGATCCGCGACCAATAGATACATTAGCGCAGTATGTGAAAGTTTCTGATAGTATTTCTGCGCTTTCCTCAGCTGATAAACTACTGCGACTGAAGTCTTTGGTATGAGTTGCAAAGAGTGAACCAAACAAAGTCCAGTTCGCACCTTTAGTTTTATATCTAAAATTATAGGGAGCCCTTTGTGGATCCTGTGCAACCCTTGGTATGAATTCGTACACGATCAAGCGGTGATCACTACAGGATGCGGCC